TGCGGCTGGCGACAGGCCCTCGCCTCGCCCCGTCCCGGCCGCCTGCCCTGGCTGTCCGTCGCCGCCAGCCGCGCCCCGGGACACCGCTGCGGGCGCTCCGTCGCGAGCAGTCGCTCCTTCGTACAACTAGGTAAACTAGTCTTGGGGAATGTGAGTTTTGCTTTCAGAGCTGAAAACCAGAAAAAATAATTGCGGTCATTTGCACAGAGTAAGCACAGAAATTGAGATGATAAAATCCGAGGAAATACGATATTAAAAGCAAAGGACTGGACTTGGAAATTATCGTGCGGGGTCAGAGCTTTTCGCAGGGAGAAAGGAGCCCGCACGCGGATGTCTCCTTCACGCGTACATACCTTCGCACAGGCATACAGGTGTATTTAAATTTCTGTGCAATCCATAAAGACAATGTGTGCGCTCACAACCTCGCTAACAGATGGCGTGTCGCTGGACAACTCGCTCAGTGTAGACAGGGCAGACCACTTCACACTCCCCCTAGACCGTAAGTGCCAGTTTAAGAGAAGAAACAGTGAACTGCAGGTTGCGAGCTCCATCAGGTCCCAAGGCAGCGCGCCGCGAAGAGGGCCGGTGTGACAGCCGTGACAGTGAGCTCTGGAAGCCGCAGGACCGGTCACCGAGTGCGTGCCCCTACCGCCCATCGTAAACTAGAGACGATGGTTATAAGACAATGTACATACCTGAAAAGTAATTGCGACTGGGAAGACAGCTAGCGGCAGAGTACTTGCTTACCTCACATGCTCAGGGTTCTGGGTTTGATTCCCAACACCTCCACGAAGAAACGAAAAAGCTACCTGACATGGAGTGTTAAGTAAATGTTACTTATTAGAAGGCGAATACCCAAACTATGGAAAAATTTCCTTTTTAAATGTTGCCACTTCGAACTGCAAAACTTGCACGGCCGCAGGAAATGTCACTGTCAGCTGTGAGTCGCCGGTTTAGTCTCTGCTCTTGTTTTCTTCCCTCTGTTCAGCAGATACAGGAGGAGCTCCACCGGGTCAGGCACTGCAATAGCACTGAGGACGCCGCAGAAACTCCTGGACTCACGAAACAGAGGGCAGTATGCCTTAACGTTCCGCCTCTTCCCAAATTAGGTGGAAGGCTCAAATGAGAAGTGTGAAAACACCTCGTGTGAGAAACTGACAGGGTAGAGACCAAAATGGAGGATGAACATTCCGTCATGGATAATGGAAATAGGAAGAGAATGTTCAAATGGTAAGGGAACGAGGGAGGGGAGGGGGAAGGGGCGGAGGGAAATGGAGGATGGAAGAAGGAAAACCAACCTTTTGTGAATGGGAAGAAGGGTTCGAGGGAGGGAAGGGGAATGGGGACTGAAAGACGAATCAAGATACATTCTGCTCAGGTACAAATTCCCTGTGAATGTGGTCACTGTATGTCAAAAGTATACCAATAACATTAAAAAAAAAAAAAAAAGCCCTAAGCCAGACACAGTGGTAGGTGCATGCCTGTAATTCCAGCACTCATTCCGGCAGGCATGAGGACTGCCATGATTTTGAAGCTAGCCTGACCTACATGAGTTTAAGGCCAGTTGGAACTACTTAGACCTCAAAAAAAAAAAAAAACCATGAAAAAAATATATATATTGTGAATGCTTTTAATGACTTCAAATTGCACTTTTAAAATTTTTGAAATGAGGCAAGTATGGTGTACATACCTTTAACCCTAGCACTCTGGGAGGCTGAGGCAGGAGGATCACACGTTCATGTTCAGCCTGGGCAATTTAGCAATTTAGAGTGTTTCAAAAATTTTTAAAAAGAATATAATAGGACGCTAACATCTATATAGAAAAATCAATTCGCTCTCTCTGTATGCTGATGTCATGGTCTAATCTAACATGTCCTGTCTCACTGCTAAAGGTGAAGCCCAGAGGTAGGCGACGAGGTCATGTGACCAGGTAGAGCACGTGCTTCTCTTCTCTCGCTGTGCTTTCTGACTGCCCTGGCTTGAGCAGATTTTTGTCAGGCCCTTCCACCACGCTGATTCTGACCTGCAGCCAACCCACTAGGGACTGAACCCTCCAAGAACTGTGAACCAAAACCACCCTCCTCTAGGGTGCAGGTGTCAGGTGTTTTGTCCCCGTGACAGGGAAGTGACTCATACTGACAGCTGGTACCGAAAGTGTCATCACTGCTGTGACTCCTCCTGTGTGTGGTTCAGAAGCCTTTGGAACTGGTGCAGGAGTTTGAAAAGGTTGGACGTACAGGATAGAGAAGCAGCTCTAAGATACTGCAAGCAGAACTTGACGGGCAATTGTGGTCACAGAGGTGCTGGGGAATCCTAGCCAGAATGGTGGCAGGAATGTGCACGGGAGAGGCCAGGCTTCCGAGAGCCCAGCGGGAATAAGGACCCTGCTGGAAACGGGACTGCAGGCCATGCGCGTGACATTCTGGCAAAGGACTTACCTACACTTTGCCCATGTCCTGCTTTGTGTGAGGCTGAATTTAAAGGTGGCAGAGAGATGGAGGAAATTTCAAGGCAGCCCAGTATTCGGGCTGTGGCATGGATACGGCTGATTTCTGCCTTATTTACGGTGAGAATCAGAGCAAACGCAGACCCAGATGATGTGAAGCTTGGCCAACTGTAAAGCTGGGGCACAGGAGACTGCGGTTGTTGAAAACAAAGCCAAATACTTTGGACCAAGGTCATATAAAACATCCCAGTGGCAAAAGTACTGTTATATCAGTATAAATTATCATCCTACTTGGAAACATGTTATCAAAGGTAGCATTCTATAGAAAGTTAGTATTACACCTTAATGAGCAATTGTAATTTCCAAGGTGTACTGAGGAAAGAGGGAGCACTTCCCTTTTCACCCAGTCTAACGAATCTTCTAACTTTGGTGTTATTTCAGATGAGGAAAAATGAAGTTCACAAATGCTAAGTAGTTCAAGGAAATAATTTACCATGTAAGGACTTTAATCTCATTTGGGCTTTTTTTTTTAAAAAAAGAAGTATCAAAGGCCTGGTGGCGCACACCTGTAAGCCCAGCGCTCGGGAGGCTGAGGCAGGAGCACTGTTGTAAGTTTGAGACCAGCATGCTCTACAAAATGAGCTCAAGGCCAGCCTGAACTGCATAGCGAGACTCTGTCTCCAAAAGATATCAATCCATCCATCCATCCATCCATAAAAAGAGAAAAGAAAAAAAGTATCTACATTAGCCAGGCTGGTCTCCAACTACTGGGCTCAAGCAATCCCCCTGCCTGGGTCTCCTGAGTAGCCAGGGCTGTGGGAGTGCGCTCTCTGTCCGGCTTGTATCATTGATCTGTAGTTTCAAACTACCTCTCTTCCTCCTTCACAGTGAGCAGAGACAGGCATCTAACAGAAGTGTGAGATCTACACATTCCAACTTGCAAGAGAAAGCCTCCAACTTGCTGATTTTGTAGATCTAGAGATTTACAAACAGGGAGAAAGAAAAAAGGAGACACTGTCTTTAAGAACAACACGTAGAGCAAACTGTACCCGTTTATTTACAATTGTAATGTACAAACAGTAACACAAACATCTTTACAGCAATATTATGAAAAGTCCCATGGCTGAGATGGGCAAAAAATGAGACTTCAAGACATTTCTAAGGGGAATGCCAAGAAAAAGGGAAAACTGCAATACAAGTTTTGGAAAGAGTTATAAATACCAAGTATCGCACTAAGTGCAATTTCATGCAAATGTCTTCCATCAAACTGCTTTTATTTAGATAGCAGAATAAAATTTCTTCAACTATGCTCCTTTTATTCACTTGATTTCCGTTAAGTAAATTAAAGTAACTGGCTATTGACGGGGTACACCTAGGTACTTCTGTCAACCTCTCTCAGACATAACCTGTTGCATTTTAGGACACGGCAGATTGTATTTGCTATTTCCCAAGAAGAGGTAAAATATCCCATGGCCCCTGAAGTGTTGTTGGATCTTTTACTACTTAATATGGGCCACAGTAAATTAAGCTTAGAAAGCTGTAAAATAAAGCAGATCACTTCCGTTTTGTCACATTTAAGAAAATAAAAACAGTCTCAAAGTGCTGAAACCTTAATGGAAGACAAACGAAAAGAACAGAAAGATTTCAGAAAGTGGTATAAGAACAGCTGAAATTCATACAGCCCTCTGCTTATGTGCCTTCATCTGAGTGGCTATCAGCGTGGTCACAGATCACCATCGCAGGTAAATCAATGTGTGCTCAACATCTGAGCTGTAAGAAGCTGAATTAAATAACCTACTTGTAATAAAAGTAACCACACCATCCAATTTTGTCCCAAAATAGTAATTTTAATTTTAACATGCCTACCTACTCATTATAATGCTTTCAACTCCTCCTCAGAAACCGGAAGCACTCAGTATTCAAATAATTACCTCGTGGGGCAAAGGTGACCTAATAACCGATGGCTGAATGTCTCTCTAGCTGAGCTGTATTCTGAGTGGGCTGGAATCTTCACTTCATTAAAAAGATCGCATTCATTTTAACAACGGAAACAATGAACTCATTAGGAACCTATGTTTTTTAGTTTCTGGTATTGTTCAGTGGGTAAAACTAAATTAGCAATTAAGGAAGTCTCTTCAACTAATTCTATCTCTAATTTTCAGTGAAGACATTGCAAATATATGTGTACGGTTGCCTTAAAACCTGAAAGTGACACAGGCTCCCTTAAAGCAGCTCTTCAAAACAGAACTGCGTTCCGTGCCCTTTGTCCGTAAGGGCACGAGGACGATTTCTTCAAAGTCATTTAATAACTGATCTTTATAATAAATCATTTTATAAAACTGAAAATGCAAAAGGAGTGTTAAAAAAAGTTTAATCATCCAGAAATTGACTGTAATAATTTACACTTAGACCCACCATTCAAGCACCCCCTAAGCAAATGTAAGGTCTCTGGTTAGTATTCAGTCAGTAAATACATGTTTGTGTTTCTCTTGGTTGCATTAATTTCACTCCAGTAATTTTCTTTCATATTAACTTTCCAATGCATCCAAAACTTTCATGATCTGTTGTTTTATGGCTCTGGTAGCATCCCCTGCATTTGGAATCAAGTACCTATGGAAGAGGAAAAAGCATTAATGTACTTCCCTTCAGAACTCAGCTGAGAGATCACCTCTGTGGGACGCTTCCTTCCCCTGACTCATGAAGCCAGGACAGCTCTCCACCCGCGTACTTCCCATAACTTATTTCAAAAAATACACCAAAGCTTATTTTAAAAGAAAATATAAACATAAAAGCAATGTGATTTTGCACATTTTTGCAGAGCCAAAATTCTATTATTAACTATACATAACTAGATAACAAAACACAAGGCAGCCAAATATAATATTAGGTGCCCAGCACAGATAAAATTCGATCAGCTACAAAGTCATGTTTTGATGATTTCTAATTCTAAAATACAATTTCCATACTTACTGGTTTGATCTTGAGCAAGTAACTTAAATTCCCTAAAACCAGGTTCACATGTATATAATAAGCGCAGTTACTCTAATTTTAGAGGGTTATGTACATTTAAAAATGTTATAGGATCTAAACTATTTTTAAAAGTGAAATATGTAATTATTATAAAACGTTAACACCACAGATTAAATCCCTTTCGAAGAATATAAAAATGTTAATTTAACACTTTATATAAAAGCTAACAAAAATTCCACTGCATATTTCATCTCTAAGTGGTACATATGCAAGACAGTACAGAAGCTAAGAACAAGGAGGGGAAAGGGAATCTGGTTCATTCATCGTCAACGATCATGACTACCTTCCAAATGTGCGTGCTTATCTATACATAAGAAAACTTATTAAAACTTACAGAAAAACCTTTAAAACATAATTTGTAATTACTACTATACATGAGTCATAATTCCAATCTTTTTTAGGAGTAACTGACAGATATAAAATTTATATAATCTTTGGCTCAGGGAGAAGAAATGGTCAAGTATGTAAATATGGAATTTTTTTTGGAGACAGGCCTCACTATGTAGTTCTGCTTGGCCTTGGACTTCCTGTGTCATCCAGGCTGGCCTTGAACTTGTAATCCTCCTACCTCTGCCCCCCAACGCTGGGATTACAGGTGTGTGCCACTATGCCTGGTATGGATTTTTAAAAGTCTACTGAAAGTGTATGAACTGTGAACCGGGAAACAATCTAAATGCCAATCAACAGGAGACTGCTCCGATCCATCCCGAGAATACCCACACAAGAGAGTATCAACCACTACAAAGAATCTGTTAAAAGGTAAATATTACATTTACATTTCAGTGTTATACTTATGTTACACTTATGCTATGTTACATTTATATTTACATTTGTATTTATTTATATAAAAATGTAAATATATTTTTTAAAAAATCAGAATAGAAAAAGGCTGTATTAGAGTTATTTAGTTCTTAACATACGTATTCACCTGTACAGAAAGACATCTAGAAAGGTATTTACCAAAGTGTTAAAGACAGCATTTGGAGGGCATGTTCCATGTTTTTACACAATGAATATATTATTATATTAAAGATATCTGAAACAGAATGAAGATGTAATTGATCATTATATTCAAGAGATTTTTTTGTTTTGTTTTGTTTTGTTTTGTTTTGTTTTTCTCCGGTACCGGGAACCGAACTCACGACCTTGCACTTGCCAGGCAGGCGCTTTTGCCGCTGAACTAAATCCCCAGCCCCCTATTCAAGAGATTTTTATTTTTAAAATGAGGTACACATAACAGTGTAGAATCATGACATTTGCTACTTGTGTCTGTCAGTACCCAGAAGGAAGTGAATTAATCTCTTCCGAATGAGGCTGATTAAAACTGCTCAGACATTACAGAACTTCGGTAAATAACAGGAAGTGTAATCTCAAACCTCACTGGGAGAACAACCTTAACTGACTCCAGGTGGAATGAGCGCAGACCAGGACCACGAGTGCTGCCTTTGGCTCTATCACAGCTAAGTGTCAGAATCTGGGAGATCGGCTTTGCGGTCGGGGTCAGCGTGGCTTAGAGCCCCGGGCCAGTCTGCGGGTCTTCCTTACTGCGCACAGGGAGAGGGTGCTTGTTTGCAGCGGACTGTAAGTCACATGCTGAGTACCCATCATCTAAAACGCTTGGAGCTGTCAGTATTTTTTTTTTTTTTTTTTTTTTTTTTTTTGGTTTTTCTCCGGTACCGGGAACCGAACTCATGACCTTGCACTTGCCAGGCAGGCGCTTTTGCCGCTGAGCTAAATCCCCAGCCCCTTGGAGCTGTCAGTATTTTAAGATGTTTCTGACTGCAGTATCTGCATATACATAACGGAGTATCTTTACGACGGGACCCCAGACAATACAAAATTCATCTGTATTTTATATAAGCCTTAGACATATAGCCTGAAAGTAATTTTTACAGTATTTTAAATAATTTAGTGCACAGAACAAAATCCCTTGATGAAGTATTTCCCACTTGCGTAAACACATCAGCACTCTCGATGCTCTGGACTGTGGAGCATTTCGCATTTGAAATTTTCAGAGCAGGGACGCTCAGCCTGTGTTCTATCACCACACTGCTTAGGTCGCAGATGATCAGTCAAAATAATGTTTGTTTTGTTTTTTTCAGTACTGGGCACTGAACCTACAGCCCTGTACAGCCTAGGGACGTTCTTCACTACTGAGCTACACCCTCAACCCCAGAAGAATTTTTTTTTTTGGTTTTTCTCCGGTACTGGGAACCGAACTCACGACCTTGCGCATGCCAGGCAGGCGCTTTTGCCACTGAGCTAAATCCCCAGCCCCCCAGAAGAATTTTTGATGAAGAAAAAATAAGAACACTGACATTCTAAGACAAATGTCTTACTTCACTGCAAACCAACATGTAGTGCAGCACTGGAATAGATTCTCCTGTGTTAAAAGGACTATGAAATTGAAGTGGGCATGGCAGTACATGCCTGTAGTCCTAATTACTCAGAGGAGGCTGAGGCAGGAATCAAAATCGCAAGCCCAGTCTTCACAAGTTAGTGAGACCCCATCAAAAGAACGGATGAATGGAAGCGAAGGAGGGAGGGAAAAAGGGCTGGGGCTGTAGCTCAGTGCAAAGGTTCAAGTCCCCGCGCTGTGTGGGGGAGGGGGTTGTGACGTTAGCTAGGGCACTTACGAGACCACGTGTGACTGCGGACTGCGAAGGTTACCAGAAACACTCCAGAAGTGTTTGGAGTACCCTATTCCACCATCCATTCCCCAAACAGAGAAACAAAATGTGCTTAATAATGACGCAGTAATTCCGATACTATTATCCTAAGAAACATCTTACCTTTCAATAGCCAGGATTTCTATTCCTGAAGCGCTGCTGTTTCCATATTTGAAGGTAATTAGCTCAGGATGCTTCTTTTTGGATGTGATCTTAACGACGGAATTCAGTGCTTGTCGAGACTGTATGTAAGCCAATCCTTTCCGTGAAAGAATCTCCCTTAAACAGTACATATGCGTAGCAGTAACCAGCAGATGACTTGAGAGAGTTTGAAAAAAGAGCATTGAGAGAAAAAATACTGTATTAAATGCAATCCAAGAGGCACTTCTTCAGTAACTCAGACAGTAAAAAATGTTCATCTCCAAATGAAATTACTTCTGAGCTAAACAATATAAAAGGATAATCCATAAACTATGTAACAGCTTTTAACTTTCTATTACATGCGAAATTGTTCTAGTAACATAAACATAAACAGCATAATACTCTGTAAATGCAACATATAAATCATTAAAATAGTCGTTTTATCTATATTCAAAACTATTCTGAGTCAACACACCACAGTCTTTATCTAGTATCAAAGGCCACTGGGCAGTAGTCGGGCTTCCTTACATACTTTATATATATTCTACGACCGGATCTAAACCGGATCTAAAGACAAAATGACCACAGAATTATTAACACACCCCTTGTGTCTCAGCTCACCTTAATGTAATAATAGGCTTATAATACAGTAAGACAGTATCACTAAGATTCAGGTAAGTCCAGAATATGGAGCAATCTGTAGGACAACTGGGGTGGCCTCAAGGGTTTATTCACCATGAACAGAAAGAGCAAGTGAGAGGGAAGCGTAAAGCCCCGCAGTACAGCGAGTGAGAGCAGAGACAAAGGAGCGCAGTGTCTGAACTACAACCAGATTCCGCGTCCAGAAGGAAAGGGACTCTACAGATGATTTGGAGACACTCTGAAAAACTGAGTATAATCTGTATGTGGAGTGGCGCTGTTTCCTGAACACTTTAGTTGGAGTAATGGCACTGGAGTTGTGAAGAATGTTCTTATTCTTGGGATGTTTATGCTGGAGAATTTAGGTGTGAAGCGTCACATCTATAAACGTTTCTGGGGTGGTTCAACAATTACAGGTGTACGTGTGCACGTATGCACATACATACACAGAATGGTAGAGTGGAGTTAACAGCAAGTAGATCTCAGAGATTATTTTAAAAATCAAGACACAATGCAAGTTGACAGAAGAAAATTGTATCTTATTTATACTTGGATAAATAAAAGGTCTTTTACAATTCAGTTTTACATCATTAACTTCTACAGATTCAATTATACTTCTGAAGACATCTTTAAACGTACCTAGGAAACATGTGTCCACTTTCTTTCACTTCTTTACAAGGAAAATGATGCTTGATGTCTGGCTTGTTTACCCAAGTCTGAATGTTGACAACCTCTTTTCTATCATCATCTGACATTGAAGAGCTGTCAATTTCATCTACAAGGAATTCAAAGTATTAAACGTGGATATTGCCAACTTTAAAAAGGTACATTTCCTAACAACCTAATAAAGTAACTTCAGTAGTATTTTGAACCAAAGCGTTTGAGGGACCAAAAAAAAAAAAAATCAATTACAACCCTACTACTAGATTTTTGCATGGCATGAAACATTACTATGAAATCTCTTTATGTGGTAAGAAAGTAAGGTGAAAATACTAAAAATGCATTTTAAGAAGGAAAAAAATAATATCAATCCTGGGACAAATCAGAAAAATCTTTTTTATGAGAAAAATATAAAACATTTTGTTTTTCAAATTTAAGAAGAATTACAGTCTCTAGGATTACTACTTAGAAGTGGTCTTGTCTTGCTTTTTAGAAATAAATACTTCCAAATACAGGGACATAATGATAAAGGAAATCTCATGTATCCAGCTTAAGTGATACTGAAGCCTGGCGCTGGGGATTTAGCTCAGCGCCTGCCCGGCAAGCACAAGGGCCTAAGTTCGATTCCCGGTACCAGAAAAAAAAAACAAGGAAAAAAAAAAATACTGAAGCCTACATGCATCTTTCACTGCCCACACCCTACTGCCTTCTCTACAATGAAGTACTATCTATTTGGTGTTATCAGTTTTGTGAGATCTTGTCTCTAACCACGTATGAATATTCCTAAGTTATACACAATAGCACTTTGAGGTTTCAGTAAAATATTTGTAACAATCGGTCCACTTCCTTGCATTCTTCTGCAATTACTACTTTATCCCAACAGTGTTAAATCTGTGCTCGTTGATACCCTGGCTCTAGTCTTTCTCATTTTTGTTGCTGCTCAATTCTGTACAGTGTAGAGTATGTGACAAATGTGGGTACTATTTCACACATACGATCTATAAATGATAAATGTAAGCACTATACACCACAATTTTATTCATCCATTCTCCTCTTCCCTTTTTAAATGGTGGAAGCTGAGATACTCAGAGAGAGACAGAGACTGAAAAGAGGAATATGGCAACAAAGAAGGAAAAAAAACCAATTAGAAATACAAGTTAGCACTGAGAAGGAAGAGTGATTCTGTCGTATCTTGAGACCATCTAATGTGCTTCCCCCGAGCCTAACAGGCTTACTGCTGAGCATTTACCCTCCGGATGTCATTTCAGAAGGCCATCTGCATGCGACAGAAAAACAGTGGCAACAGCTAAGGTGAATCAGAAAAGGACTGATCAAGCACACTGTGGAATACGATAGAAGAAGAATGAGCAGATGTACGGCCAGAAAGGAAAATACGCAGCCTTATTACTGAGCGGAAAGACGACTTACTGAACACAAGATGCAGTTCAGGGGTTGTTAATTATAGTAACAAGGACATCCTGGGACGGAATTATAAATGAAAGTAGTAACTGTTTTTAATGAAAAGACAACCACACAAATTTCCCTGTCACAATGTCACCATCTTGTGGCCCTTTAGGTTACTACTTCTGGTTTCAAAGGCTCTTTTCAGATGTTTCAATTTTGGAATTCTCTGAACTCCAGTTCCACAACTCTCCGTGTCACAATGGATGACTAAAGGACTTTAAATGCAAACATATGGATTTAAATACAATCTACACTGATAACCCTCACATTATCGTCAGTTCAGACCTCTCCTCAGCTGAAGACCCTTACAATCAAAAGCCTATTTTTGGATTTATTAGCACAATGTAAGATATCTAAAACTGAAGTTTTAACAGAAACCCACAAACTCTCCAATTCTCTCTACAAATTTTGTTGTTGTTTTGGGGTTTTTTTCTTGACACCAGAAATCGAACTCAGGATCCTGCGCTTGCCAGGCAGGCTCTGCATCACTGAGCTACATCCCAGGTACGGTGCTGTTCACGAAGAAGTCGTACGCGACTCCCGGGACGATTCTGCAGTCACCCCTGAGGACCAAGGACGAGTCTGTAGATAAACACATCACTCCACCTGTGTCATACTCCTCTTCATCCCCGATGCTGAACACCGGCTTCACACCGCGGTACGGCTTGCCCACTCTGTCACTGCTGCTCACATGCCTGTGCCCACAGAATTTTAGGGGAAATCGTCATTTAAGGGGTTACCAACATTCCACCAAGCATCGCGGGACATTCAGACAAACGTCAATATTCTTTGCTCCTACGTGCGGCGCCCGCTTTAGGACAGCTATGTCAGGGAAACGGAAAGAAGACAAACGTCGGCAAAAGTAGCGTAAGGATTGGACAGGCTGAGCGCTCGTGTATTGTAAATATTTTCTTTGTACAGGGAATCAAACTCAGGACCTGTGCTTGCCAGGCAGGAGCTTGTGCCACTGAGCTACATCCCCGGCCCCATAAAATTTAACTTTAAACAATTTCAATATTCACTTAAAACTAAAGATCTGTTTGGCTTTCAGGAAGTTACATAATCTATGCTTCTGTTCCTCACCTGTAAAATGATAACAACAACATCTATCCTTCAGGGTTCTTGTGAGAATTAAATCAATTAATTATTTCAAAAAGCTCCTAGAACATTCAGTATACAGCACGTGCTACATGTTTACTAGACAAAACAGGTTACGGCACTAAGTATTCAAATTCCAGCAGGAGTGCTCAAGGCGTCTCTTCTACATCCAAGTGTCTTACATGATTTTTCTTCCCATTTTTATTACTAGTACTTTTATTTTAATAAAACCAAGACAGTAATTCTGCTGCACAAATATAAACTATGAAAATGAATCTGCCATTTTGTTTTCAAGTGGTAGAAACACAAAGGACATGTAGATCCAAACCTGTTCAGTTCTGCAGGAAGTTTGGCCCCTCTTTAATGAAAAACTTAACATCCAATTACTTTTCAGGTAGAAAACTAGTGTTTTCTTTGTTAGACACAGAGACAGAATCTTCTATTTTCAAAAGACATTCCAATGTGCAAAAAATCAAGTTACATATCTTAAAGAATTCAGTTTTCCCATAAGAGAGAGATCAAATCTATAGATTAATTTTGATATATATCACTGACAGTCTTATCGTCTAATTATGTCTTTACTTCTAAAACAACAGTCCAAAAAAAAAAAAAAAATCCAGTGAGAGGTTAATGTATAATACTCTTTGGGAATTACAAGTGAGGTCAGTTAGCAAGTAAAGTTTGATTGAGCTAGAATTCATGAAGTCTCACAACTCCATGTTATCTCATCCAGAATGTTCTTATAACTGTTAAACTATGTTCATCAGAAAATGTTTTAGTTCAAATGTGTGGGTGCTATTTCCCCACTTGGCGCTACAGGAAGGCAGCAGAGTCTTTTTAAGAAGCACAGCCTCCCGGGAGATCTTCAGTCACTGCAGGGCTTGGCGAGGATAATGGGACTACTCCTTCCTTTCTCTTTCATCCCAGCCATTACATGAACAGGTTTTTGGGAGGTGCGTGCACGCGTGCATGCGCTGTGTATGCTGTATGCATGGGCACATGCTACTGGACACTAAGGGCCTCATGCATACCAAATAAATGCTCCACCACTAAGCTACATGTGTCCAGCCTTTTTACAATATTGAGACAGGATCTTGCTGAACCGCCCAGGCTAGGCTGCAATTTGCGGTCCTCCTGCCCCAGGTTCACGGTCCACTGTGCACAGCTGAGGTGAACACTGGCTCCTCTCTGCTCTCCCCACCATGATATGTCCCCTGCCAAAAGAAACGGGCTGCATTCTCCAAAGCAGTGAGCAGAAACAAACTTCTGCTCTGCTCACACTGATTGTTTCTGACGTTTTGTTACGACAGTGGAAAGCTGAGGAGCACAGGCAGTCTGAGCAACAGAAACACGCAGTTCAGCAACGCTCAAGCTCGGACTCCGCGTTCCACCCACAGGGAAAGGCTAACAGCTCTCTTTATCTGGAGATGCTTTAGTGCCGTCTACATTACAAACTCCATGGGGTTAAATTACATGTTCTCTCCTACTAAGGCACGAACTGCTAGAGCACACAAAAAGTAAGAAATAATAAAGATCACGCTTACAGTACATGCCAGAACCCCACACAAGAAAGTACGGTAAAAACAACCCTAAAAAGCAAGCTATTCATTTCTTATCTAGATTTATAATACAATTTGAAGTTTGTATAAATAAGACTGCTGACAACTGCTGAGATGTTTCCTAAGACTAGCTAAAAGTTAATGAAATTCAATGACCTTTTTTTTTTGAATGCTGAGGTTTGGTTGGACTATTTCTAAAAATCAGCATACTTACAATTTTTTGACAAATAACAGAAACACCTACAAAATGGTTTGGCCAGGCTTTTACTTAATTTACTGAGCTTGGAAACTCAAGTCATTCTAACTTTTAATTAAGTTATATTTTCAAGATAAACATATCTGCATGTGAATGACAGAAGATAAGCTGAAAAAGTAAGACTCTAGGACAAAATCTGGGAGTTAAATAAAATTAGACTACCTCAATGGCCTTTTAACTACCTCAATGGCTTTTAAGAGAAAACAGATGATTCACAAATAGACTAAAATGTTAAAAGAAGCAATTTCTTTTGAAACTATAGATGCTTTATAATTAGCACTGTGTAGTAATAATAACAGCAACAATAAATAAAAATTGCAATATCTGAAAATGTTAATTTATATAATGTAAACAAATTTAAAATCTTGAGGTTGGGGTATAGCCCAGTGGCAGAATGGATACTCAGCATGTACAGGGTTCTTGGGTTCAGTCAGTGGCAGAACACTTTTCCTGAACCATGAATTGTTCATCAGAATAAAAACTTCAGGATTCATGTCTTAGGCAGGAAGGAGTTTGCTATATATTTTAGGAATGAGAGATGAAAACATGCAAGAAAAAAAAATTGAAATGATCAAGCAACTACAAAAAACCAAATTCATCAGCATGACACCTCCTACAAGCAGAATGAGGCCAGTTCAGCTTTTAAAATAGCTGCATGAAATTTTGGCCAAGACAGCACAGGCATCTGCAGATAGATGAGGTGCTGAAAGCAAGGGTGATTCCACAAAGCTGCTCCCGTCACTGGCTTACCGCTCTGCACACGATCTGTCTGGCCAAGGGAGATTGAAAGACATTCTACAGCAAATCAAGGTAGAGGACAGAACAAAATGATTATAAAAAAATGCAACAGCGTAATCAGTTTTCTAATCCAGATTATGTATTACAAAGAAAATATTTCAATCACCCCAACTACAAAGAAAAATTAAGAAAAGCCAGTTTTCCGTGATACCTTAATAAACATCTTCAAAGAATGAGCTATCATTAGCCTGTTTTAAAATAAAATTTTAAATGTCCAAATCACAAAATCTACCAATAATGCTGTAAATCACAAGCACTACAGAGGCTTCTTGAGAATAGGTATCACTGAGCAAACAAATTTTTCTAGCTTGAGAAAATGCTTTAATAATTATTAGCAGACTATTTTAAGGTACAAATTTTTAGATTAGTGAAAATAACCCATTACATTCTTTTTTTTTTCTTTTTGAGACAGGGTCTTGCCTTGTAGCTCAGGATGACCTCCTGCCTCAACCTCCCGAGTGCTGGGGTTACAGGCATGCACCACCATGGCCGGCTTCCTTCTTTGTCATTTATTAAATAGGAACGCATGCACATGTACATACATGTACTATACTAAACAAAGGGATAAAGAACAAATTCCTAACGTTCAGCTCTTAAACTCAGTATTTCAACTTTCCAAGATACTACAAGTAAAACATGAAAAAGCACTCAAACACATTTCAAAGATCAGGCTCACTTGGAAATAAATTCTATGTCACAATTATAAGGTTAGGTTTAAACTCTAGAACAAGGTCAATTAAACTAAACATGAAAAAATACACATGTACAGCTGTAATAAGCAGTACATAACAGATAATTCTCAAACCTGTGTATCAATTGGTCACTGCACCTCTGGTTTATAATTCACAAGGAAAATGGAATTTGCCCATATTTGTAAAAAAAATTTGTATGAAGATCTAAGAAAGCTGGATCCTGCCATATTTAGCATGACCAAGTTGCCAGGTTTTTAATTCCTGGGGCAAAGAAAGAAGTTCTATAAGACCACTACATTTGATAGATGACTCCCCATCCATGTGACATTTGGGAAGCAGGTATCACAAAATACATACAGATATTTACGGATTTTTTTTGTGGCACATGGGGGATGGAACCCTTGTGCACATGAGGTAATCACTCGACCACTGAGCTATGCTCCCAGCCTTTCTAATTTCATTTTATTTTGACAAGGTCTTGCTAAATTATCTGAGCTGGACTCAAACTTGAGTGATTCACCTGCCTCAGCTTTCTGAGAAGCTGGGACTGCAGTTCTGCACCACCACGCAGAACTGACAGCTGAGCAGCTGTTTTTCAATGAATGATATGAGGCGCAGATTCATTATCTGTAAATCATTCTGAGCAGTAAGACAGGACAGCAGAATTTTTTGTTTGCTTGTTTTGTTTTCCGGTACTGGGAATCGAACTCACGACCTTGCACTTGCCAGGCAGGCGTTTTGCGGCTGAGCTAAATCCCCAGCCCAGGAGAGCATAATTTTGACAGCCAAATTTTAGAGCAACGAAGTGTATCCATATAATGGAGACTCAAATCTAACAGAAACTGCACGTCATGATCCTTTCCTAGAACACTTCCAACTGACACTTACTCTCACACATACTTCTTTAGTTTTAATTAGTAATCTAAGCACAATATATGCATGTATGGAAATGTGACAGTGAAACCTGCCGATCTACACAATTAATACGCATTACTCACCGGTCCACAGGAGTTGATGTATTCTCAATAAAACTGATAACTTTTTCCCTGACATTAACGGATTTTGTCTTCAAAGCCACAGTCATTTTATTTACCAGTGATTTCATTCCTCTGTCATTTGAACCATTAGGAGATTCACCCTGAAAAATAAGAACAGACAGAACTGCTCTTCAAATAATTAGCAGACACACTCCTGCTGAAAGTCACCCCCACGTTATGGATGCATTATATCCCCCATCAAATGCATATGAAGTCTTAATTCCTAGTACATCTCAGAATGTGACTGTATTTGCAGAAAGAGTCTTTAAAGAAGTAGCCGCATGAATCAGGTCAGAATGGGCTCTATCCAACTCTCCTAAGAGGAGCAGGCAGGGACCAGTGAGGGGAAAGGCCACGTGAGGACACGGGAGAGGGCAGCCATCGACACTCACAAGGACAAGGGAAGCCAAGGAGAGAGGACTTGGATAAACGAAGTATGTCAACACCTGATCTCAGACTTTTAGCTTCTAAAACTGTAAAAAAATACATTTCTGTTGTGTAAGCCTCCCACTCTGTGGTTATTCTGTGATGGTAATACCAGCAAACTAATTCATTAGGAGAAGCTATTTTTAAAATGTACGGAAGAAAGGAAAACTAAGATATCTATACATAGATGTGTTGAGTCTGAAATTACCTTTTGTATTCGTAAGAAATAAAGTAACTGACCTTTCTAAACTCAGACTAGTCTAGAAAAGTAAAGGAAAGCATGATCAAACTATTGTTCATATCCCTGAATTTATAGACACTCAGTCCTTGTATAGTTTTGCTTTTTACAATATTCCCAAGTGAGCCTCTAATTTCAGAAGTTACCCTGATGCACTTAGTAAGCGTGAGTACAGTTCTTGTACTGCCTTGCAGGATGGCTCACATACACCCTAGACTCAAACGTTTTGATCAGGAAGCAGGAAGGAAATGATCAGGAAGTTGCTAAAGATTTAGGTATTATTTTATGGTTTTAAAAAACATCTTAAAATGCCAGAAAATGCTCATATATTCAGTGAAAAGGAAAATAAAACTACATAAATTGAGGCCACTATTTTTAAAATAAAATACTAAAATACACATACAATAAAATGGTTCATGCAGATTCCCAAATAAGAAAGGAAATTATTATCTCTGGTAGTTGGAGGAGATTCTGTTTTCTTTATACTTTCTTCCTGACATATGATGCTACAGTGAACATATGTTATTTTTATTTTGGAGAAATACCTCATTAACTACACACAAAAAAGTATGTCTAATTCCATACTTAAATTCAAACCAAATTAAACTGATGGTGGAGATGCTTTGCACTTCTGAATGGAACAGATCCTTACAACTTTCTATGATTGCCTGATCCAGTGTTTCTCAAATCTGAAAAGGAAAGCTTGAACCGTCCAAAGGCTGTGGTCGCAAATATAAATTAGAATAATGTTTTCTGGAGAGCTATCTGATAATAACGCACAATTCTAAAGATTCTGATAAGTAGTATTTTGATCAAGTTACTCCACTTCTAGGACTAAACAGTCACAGCGTATGCAAATATATCACTATAAAAATTACCTGCAGTAGCATTTGTAATAGAAGAAGACTGAAAGTTATATATTCAACAACAGAATGTAACTGAAAAAACCGTAACACACCCATACAATGGAATAGTACTTAGTTTCTCATAAAAAGATGTCAAGAGATAGATAAAACTCTCAGAGAAGCCTTATCTGTTGATAATATTTTAACAATAACCTGCTTTGATTTCTGTGCTTGAAGACAAACCTCAGTCTCTCTCGTGAGTTACAACTTTATAATAACTACTACTAAATATTCAGTGAAGGGCCCTATATGTGCACTTGCATATCCAATCTCCAACCCTCCTGATGAGGGAGACTCTCCTACTACCAGCTATTGCACAGCTGAAGAAAATACCCCTGAAAGGGGTTGCTGGAGATCACGAAGAAGTCAGAGATGAAACCTGGACCCAGGGACAGCAGAGCACAAGCCCAGTTAGTAACCATGAGCTTATACTGTCATTGTCTACTTCTGTTTTACAGAATAAAAATTAAGTAGGTAACTACTATTTATTAAGAAAAATATTCAGTGACATCCAATTAAACCACGAGAAGTACTAGGAAACTATGAAAGACTTACTATCCAAATATTTCCAAAGCAAAAAAATGGATTTATCCAATATAGCAAACCTCTGCAGTAATGTACATCTCAGTAACTAAAAGTCAGAAGCAGACTGGCAATTGTGCCCAGTCTTCCTTTTCCTGAACCATTCTTATGTGAATTTAAACCGAAGCCCAAATCATGTGTACAAGTAGTGCGTGGGAGATGTGAGCAGGAGTGCCAGTGTTCTCTTGGTCCAAACGAATAGGTGGATTCCTGGAATCAGCTCACATAAGAGTTGCAGCTAGTTCAGTAGTGCACACTACCTCCACCATTTCAGTAACATCACAGAACGTGACCCCTCACTGTGTCTGAAATATTTTGACTCCATTTCTCTTATGGCGGGGATTCAGTAGCTAATCGCTTTTCTGGGAATTGATCAAACTCTGGGGACACATAATACAAATGCACTTACATCAACAGAAGAATTGACACTGCTCCTTGAGCCTGAGGTACTAGCAATCCAATGACCATAGCCATTTTCTGGTCCATCCACATTAATGTCTGCTAGGTGCTGCTGCAGTGCTTAAGATAAACAAGGAGAACAAAACCAAACCTGAGCTACAAGCCCTTGCAGAAAGATTCATTACCAAAAAACCGTCATAAACATGTGACACCTGAATGAAGAAGGCTCCAACAACATAATGAAAGTATTCTGAACGCTCTCAGGCAGTGAGGAACTCGGGGCCACAGCAATCCTCCTCTTCCCTTTCCCCTGCAGCCCTCAGTACGGAGGTAACCTGTGTCCATTTTAACTGACTCTGAGGACTAGCCGTGAACGGTGCAGGCTTCCTGCTTTCCCTTCTGAAAGATCCCCTTTCAGCAGCAACAGATAAACTCTGCAACGCTTTTAGGACGGTGAGGAGTTCACAGAAATCTTGGGGGTTCTTTGTTACACCGTGAGAAGACAGCAATCAATTTTTCCCATAATGAAGAGGCAGTCTTTATTAAGTTATGGGAAGAGCTTGGTGAATGGAAGAATTCATGTTTTGAAAAGTTTTTAAAATCTAAAACATACTATAAAATCCTTTTCAGACATTTTTGAGAATGACATGTTTAGCTGCCAAATTCTGAGGTACATGTTATCAGGATTAGTAATAAAGAACATCAGGCAAAAAATTCAACACTGATTTAATACCACACATTAATTAAAATAATCTCTTTTGTAGATCGCTCTGGTTATAAAGGTAGGTAGTTATCAGGCCATGACATACAGATAGTACTCATAACCTCTGCTAGCATCAACGAAGGCCAAGAGGAAACACATCCTAACTTCACAAATATTCTGACCTGAAGCATAAAATTACATACATAAGAAGTTAACTTCTGTTCTTAAACTCAAGATTCTACTATTTTCAACATACACTGCTCTGATTTTTACACCTCAGCATTTACAGTTCCATACTTTTACCTACCTTTCATTCCTCATGCCAAAGGAGGCTCTTTTTCTATCTTACACTGATTTAACACTCATAAATTCTCAAATATGTCAGAATTTGCCAAATGCTTTCCTATCTGGGGTTACCGGAGATTAGTCTGCAGATGTGAAAAGTCAGCTTACTTCGTTCACTCCACTGCCAGTATCGCTTACCCCAGCTAAAACCTTCCAGCAGGTTACAAGTGAAGCAGTAACCCAAACTCCCTGAACAGTACACAAGACGCACTGTGCAAGTTCCCCCCACCCCCGTTCACCCGTCCTGTCCAAGCCTTCTCCGCGGGGGCCAACGACACAGGCAACATTTCATTATTTTATAAACATATTTTTTGGACAGGCTGGAGATGGAGCTCAGCAATGGACTGCACAGTATGTGTTGAGGGCCCAGGGTTCGATCCCCACCACCAGGAAAAAGTAAAATAAAGTAAAAATTTGAAAATGCTTTTTGGAAAGACAAGCTAATTGAAACAGTCTTTCACCAAACGCTCATTTCAACTGCCTGTTGTGTTTGCTAGGGTATGTCCTGCTGGCCCTGTCTTTTCTGAAAATACTGACTGACTGAATAGAAAGTCCTCCCAACCCCACTGGTTACTTCAGATAAGCTCTGATGTTAGACACTACGCTGAAGAAAAAGGCAGAGAGATTAATAAAGTGAAACCTTACCCATAAATCCTCCACTGGCAATACTCACATATTCTTTGTTTTTCTGCAATGAAACATAAAATCTAAATTGTTTCAAAGTACAAACAATTAAAACTTCGGATAATTCTAAAACATTGACAAATGCAACACAGTTACATATTAAAGTTACGCACTTTCGCACTTGTTTTTTCCCTAACCTTTTAGAGCTGGTGCAGAGAGGTATACGTATCTATCACACAGACACAGACGCACACACACACACGTGCATTTACGCTGTGTGACGCGAGGTGTTGCTTGGGCAGGAAGAAAGAAGCAATTTCATGACGAGTAGCAGCACTATGATTTCACCTGTATTATTGTCACAAAAGTGCAAGAGTCAAACCAAATTTAAAAGGTATCAAATGTAATCAGAGACTTTAAAAATATTTTGCATATTTTATAAGAAGGTGATATAAAAAGAAATATAGCCAATTATGAAAAGGTCTTGTATCTGTATGTCTACATCTGGAGGTGACTAGATCTAGGGTGTGTGCTGATGGAATCAAGGATGTGATGCTGGGGTTGATTCATTGTGTGATGCTGGAATTAAAGCTGCCCCACCCTGGGCGTGAGCGCTGCCCGCGTTAAAGGTGAGTGGCCTGAATTGTAAGGGACAGAGTTACTGCTTGTCACTTGCTGCTTCTCTCCTTGCTGCCCTCCTGCCTTCTGCCTGCCATGAACTATTTCTCCTGCACAATGCCCCTCTGCCATGCCACCCTGCCTGGGAGCCAGCTAACTATGAAATGAGACTTCTACAGACTGTGAGCCAAATAAACCTTTCTTCCTTTAATTCTGGGTGTTGGGTATTTTCTCTCAGCAATAAGAACAATAACTAAGACATCCTCAGACCCCTTTCTCCCTAAAAAGGCAATGTAACCATGTCTCTAGATCTAATTGGTAGCATATAAGGAGACCAAGGACAGAAGATAAATGGTTAACGTGATGTACTCAAAATCCAGAACGTGGGAAACTCTATAAAGAATTATCAACTGGATTATTTTCAACAAATGCATGCAAGGAAAAAAATTACAAATGGGAAACCCGCAAAATCAAACATATTTTTAAAGTAAAATCAATTAAATGCAATGTTTTATTTTAGATCTTAGGGAAATTTAAACACTGAGCTAGTTTTATTTAAAAAGTATGAAATGTGATTATGTTATAAAGAATTTATAGCATTCAATTATCCCACTTTTCAATTTCTTTTAACTTTTCATGACAAAAATTTCTAAAATTCCACAAATAATCTGAATAATAACACAATATCTCAACCTCTTATACTATAAGAACCCTTACAATATAGTTTCTTGTAGTATATATACTGTAACAACCCTTGTAATACATAGTTTATCTCAACCTCTTATACTATAAGAACCCTTACAATATATAGTTCTTATACTATAAAAACCCTTACAATATATAGCTCAGTAGCTCAAGTGCCTGCCTGGCAAACAGAAGGTCCTGAGTTCGATTCCTGGTACCAAAAAAAAAATACATATATATATACATACATAGATATATATATAAACATACAGATATACACATACACACACATATATATAGTTCATACTAAACCAAAGCATTTTTTTAAAATAGGCTATTTAAATTTATAAGTAAAATGAGTTTGGGATGGACATGGTGGCACATGCCCATAATCTCAGCACTTGAAAGGCTGAGGCAGAAGGATCAGCAGGGTTCAAGGTGAGCCTGGGCTACATTGACAGTTTAAGGCCAGCCTGAACTATACAGTGACACGGGGCTACGGCCCTGTTCCTTTCCATTCAAGATAGAGTCTCGCTGAGCTGCCCAGGCTGGCCTCGAACTGTGATCCTCCTGAGCACCTGACATTACGAATGTGTACCACCGCCCGGCTTTCAAGTCTTTTAGGAATTTTGCCTTCAGAGTAAGTTTCTCAAACCAAATTCCCAGTGAGACAGAGAGAAATGAACCCACTGAGCAGCTTGTTTAACACCAAGTCTATCATCTTCCCGATTCCACAGCTGTAAATTATACAAACTAAAGACCTTAATGTAGAAACTACAAAAAACACTCACTCTTTTATAAAGAGTCATTACCGACCAAGGCTCCGAAAGAAAGCCAAGGACAGTTTCAGAAACACCACTCATATAATCAGTTGTACCGAAAACAATATTCCAACACTAGAAGAAAAAATGGCTAAATGTCATGAATAAATATAAACGTATATTTATTCAAATTAAAAGTGGAAACATTAAAATGAATTATCTAGCCACCATAAAAAGTACTACAACACGAGTAAGCATGGAGATGAACACGACAGAATCATCCAGAAACAGATACTGACACATGGACTATTAAAAACATGGTAATTCAATCTGATAGCACGATTCCTTCACTATCTGGAAAACAAGTTTTTAACACTTCTACCTTACTTCTCACACAGAAATAAATTCCAAATGGTTCAAAACTTAAAACATAAAAAACATACCATTTACGCATGTGAGAAAAATCTACAGAAAAAGGCAGTTTTTCTTGGCAAAACAAATCAGCTAGAAAGAAAAATACAGACAAATCTAACAGCGTACGTAAGAGTAAAAAGCTACGCCAGTGTCTCCAATTCAAAAGCAACGGTCAGGGGAAGTGAGCAGCCCACACCAGCGCACCTGTAAGAAGTGTGCCAGGACCATGTTCATGTACATGTCCTCCTCCTCCCGGCCGCTGCCCATGAAACAGAGGTGCTCCCCACCGGCAACGGAGCCCGACTCGATGGACTGCTTCTGTGCCTCCAGCAAGGACTTCACTGACTGGGCAAACTCCGACGGGTTCTGCAGCATCTAGACAAGTTTAAAAACACCATCAATCTGTGTTTCACATACATTTGTAAAACCTGAACTATTTTTCCAGGAAAGACCCAACATTTACAGAGCCACTATGAAAACAAAGGGAAAAGGTTTCTGTACATAAAATCCCTGGGTTAAAAGAACTGTGCATAAGTATACCTATAATACCTTAGAATAAAACTTGAAAATTCACAGAAAGGTTAAATTATGCAAAAAATCCTGCTCTACTAACTTTCTTTGCTTTTGCTTTGTCTTTGTGTGTTTGTGTGTGCATGTGGTACTAAGGACGGAGCCCAGGGTCTCTGCACTGAGCTGCACCCCCAGCCCTTTCTTTTTATTTTGAGACAGAATCTCATTAAACTGTTAGATAGGCCAGGTGGGGGTTGAACCTGCTGCCTCACCTCCTAAACAGCGGGATTACAGGCGTGGGCCGCCACCCTCAGCTGTTTGCTTCCTTACGTAACGAACAACTAGCTACAGTGTCCTTAAATGTAACGGAAAAGTATTCAACACCAAGGGGAAGGCTCCATGAGAAAGACCAGAGAGGAGTGTCTGTGTGCTCTACTTTTTAGCTTCCACTCAGGGGCAAGTACGCCTTGAAGGTCAGCCCGAAAGAGAAGCCTATTTCTCTACACTACTCTAGATATTACAGCCACAGGCCTAAAAAATTCTTTCCTTCCTCTCAAAGGAATAAGTACGCAGTAACTATAAAAAAATTTTAAAAGCTGCTATAGTGGGGCTCCATGAGAAGTACAGTGAAAATCCAATAGAAAAATAATGCACTTTCACATAGAAGACCAATTTATTAGGGGGGAAACGCTCAGTCACATTAGTAATCACCAGTGTTTTCCTCTTCTCATTCTGGTAATATTAAAAAAAAACCCAAAAACAGTCGGAGACCAGTAATGTCCAATATGCTGATGACATGACAGTCATTCACATTTACAGCTCTGAAGTACAAGGTACTTCAGCTTTTTTAAAGCTCAGTAAGCATGGCATGGTGATGCACACCTGTAATCCCAGGACTTGGGAGTAGGGCTGCCTCGAGTACGACACCAGGCCGGACTACATGGCAAGACCCTGTCTGAAAAAACTTTACAAAAAAGACAATAAAGTAGTCATTAGCACAATTTATATGCACATCTCCTCAACCCAACAATTCTATTTTTTTTAAGGACCTATTTTAGAGAAATATTTGCCTAAGTTCACAAAATATAAATGCAGCATCTTAGAAGAAAACAGAAAATAACTGAAATGTACATTAACCAGACAAAAACCTACGGCACATCTGTACCATGGATCACTACATAACATTAAACATAAAAATAAAGGTACTTAAACAGAAAGCTCTCCAAGAAACTACTAAAAGATTACACAAGTTGGCTATCGTGGCTAATGATGCCGGAGATAGTCTTTGAAAAAAAATTTATTCATGTATTCATGAATGAATTGACTGAATTTTTAAAATAAGCTTAAGAATCAACGAAGAAAAAGGTACAGAGCTCGCCAACACAATATAAACAAACCAGCACGGCCTTTCTCACGTAACGTGTACGAAGTGTACAGAACTCCGAGCTCTACCCCCACTTTCCGCCAGCTTCCTACCAACACCACCTTCACACACATCCTCTTAGCCTCAGCAACACTGCCAGGCAAGTGAGGAAGGAGAACCTCAGCAACAGAGCTTAGCACCCACATCTGTTCTCCCTACCCCATGACACACAGAGCTGCTTTCAGCTCCATTCTAACCATCTCTGACAAAATCTACCGTATTCCTTTAACCGAAACGATCCTAGGATAGTCATTTTTTTACGGGTTTTTTTGTTTGTTTGTTTGTTTTCCAGTACCGGAAATCGAACTCAGGACCTGAGCTAAATCTCCAGCCCCCGATAGCAATTTTAAGAACAGAGCCCTTACACACAAACACTATTCTTAAGTATTAGTTTGTTGTATGCGTAAGTACTCGATTACCAAAACTACTTACAGTAAAAGCTTTTAAAATTCTTACCTAATTACACTAAGAGCTAACATTTATAGACTACTTACTAGGTGCACGGCACTATACCCTCTGGCCTACCAGGTAGCTCATGGTTACGTTTAGAATTGACTGACGTAATAATGGCAAAGTAAGCCATGGTTACCGTTGTTATTGACTCTTTATGATGCCAGAAAAACGTCCCAGGCAAAAGGAGACCCAAGAGCAACACGTCTTTTGAGGCAAAGGCTCCCTCTTTACACGGAAAGGAAAACATCTTGAACACGGATACTTATTTATAAGCTAAAGAAAAAAATGAATTTTTATTTCCGAAATAGTCAGTGAGGATTTGTACTAACCAGATCTGAATCTAAGTGGAAAGCAGTTGACAAATGCCCAGCGTTATACTGCTCTGCAGGACGGCAATCCACCACAAAGAACCGGACTCCTTCCTAAAAGGGAAACGTTTGACACGTCGGAATTGGCCGTGAGCTTCACATTCCACAGTGCAACAGCAACAACTGCTTAACGAGCAACCGTTAACCCAAGGACGGGGAACAGGCGCATCGGACAAATGGGTGTCACACAGAGTTAGGAGGACAAACTGGTGCAGACACAAGGAAACAACCTCACGGTCCCGAATACGTTTATTAATTTTAAATAGTTAAAACATGTTTATATGTTCTTTTTGACTTGGAATTCTTAAAATATGTAGCGAGAGAATGCCCGTTTGCACACTAAATCTAATTATATCAGAATCTAACGATTTTTCAGCGTGTATCATGTAAACACTACAGTTATAAACGCAACTCCAGACACACATTTTTATAGCAAATCCACAAACTAATCAATGGTTAAATTTACATAAAGAACTAAATATCCTTGCGGAGTGATAACAATGTCAATTTGAACCAAAGAAGGCTTCAGATTGGATCTCCTTAACCTGGATTACATTATTTCTTTTTAATATTAGTTCTAATAAGAAATAAATGAGAGGGGGCATATTCTCAAAATTCTGAACTCACAGCAGAAATAAAGAAAGAACCCCAACTGAGATCTAGTGTAAAGGGCCTACCCCCCTCATCTACTCTTTCCCCTGCTCACCTCCGGAAGTGCACCCAGCCTCCCGAATATATACACCCCAAGGTAACGGTGACACAACTCAGTCAGCAGCACACACTGAAACACTGTCACTGGTCAAAATGGCTCACGATATTATCATAAGGGTATCAGACAATGGTAGTTTTTGTAACTGGTCCTGGGGAGCTTTATGGCATTAACCATGTCATTTGATCTGCTGTGTAACTACACAAATTTAAATGTTAAATGTGAAATTCACCCTTTCTTTTTGGTACCAGGAAACAAACTCAGGATACTGTGCTTGCCAGGCAGGTACGGTGCCACTGAGATATATCCCTGGCCCCCTTTTAGTACTTTATACAATGCCACATTCAACTGCTTTGTTGAAATATGAAAAAACTGGTGTCAAGAATGACAAAAATACATGTTGATGATTAAAATAACACAAGCTGACAGCCTAAAAAACTGATCATCTAAACAGAAGACTTAACACAGTATTCAAAAAAGCAAAACTGTTATCATGAATTAATTTTTATCATGTTAATTCATTGCTATCATGAATTTTTTTATTTTAAAGAGAAAAAACAATAACAAAATAACAACAAAGACTCAAACAAAAACAATAAAAAACGGTACAAGATTTCAAAACAAAATGGTAAGAAGCCAGGTGTGGTGGTGCACACCTGTAATCCCAGCACTCGGGAGGCTGAGGCACAAGGATCGTTGCAAGTTCGAGACCAGCCTGGGCTACAAAATGAGCTCAAGGCCAGCCTGAACCATATAGCGAGACCCTGTCTCAAAAACACAAATCAGTCAATCAATCAACAAAATTTTTTTTTCTTGACCAATTTTGCAGGCATATATCTGGTAATCTGAACAACTCATTTGAAGACAACAGTAAGCAATATAACAATCATTGTTGGGGCTGGGGATTTAGCTCAGCAGCACAACGCAGGTCTGGCAAGCGCAAGGTCGTGAGTTCGATTCCCGGTACCGGAAAGAAACAAAAACAAAACAAAACAATCATTGTTGAATTCTGACCACCTTGTTTAGTGAAGGTCTGTATTGTTTCTAATTTTTTAAAATTTCTTTTTATTATCTTTAATTGTTTGATCAATCTTTCTGGCACTGGAGGCTGACCTGCCAGGCACAAGCTTTATCGCTGAGGTATACGCCCAACCCCAGTTCCTTCTACTTAAAACGCAGTTCCCTGATGAATGATCTCCCTTACTGACCCCTTGTAGCTGATTTGCTTGAAGAATCTCTGACACGGAGATGGCTAGACACAGAGCCTGACTCAGATCCGCATCATCGCCCTTCATCCCCAACAGAGCACTGCCAAAGAGATGGTGATGATCCTGTTCAAAGAGAAACTTTTTAGTAGTATGGAAAAAAATCAAAATCAAACTTTTTCCCTAAATATACTGATAGAAACCATGATAAGGGGTGAAGTAACTACGTATCCTTCCTGGGTCTTATGATTTTTTAAAACTGTTGTATAATATTAAATTTTGTGTGTTAAAAGAACCACACATAAAGTCCCTTTTAGAGTGCACACAAGGGGCTGGGGATTTAGCTCAGTGGCACAGCGCTTGCATGGCAAAAGTGAGACTGTGAGTTTGATTCCCGGTGGGGCGGGGGAGTTCACACAAAATCAAATTTTTAGGAAAGTATAACACTCTACACAGCTCCTTTCCATACCATCACTTCACTTTTAAGAGTTGGGCAGAGTGCAGTGGCACACACCTGTACTCCTCTCAGGAGGCTGAAGCAGGAGAATCACCACAAGTTCAAGGCCAGCCTAGGCTACACAGTGAGATCCCGTCTCAAGGAAAACTAAGACAAATTTTAAGGGTTCGGAAGGCAGCTCAGTAGTAGTAGAGCACTTGCTTCGCATGCACAAGGCCCTGGGTTTGATCCCCAGCACTGCAAAAAAACAACAATAAAGCTAAAAAAAAAATGCTTGCCCACGAACTGGGCATGATAGTGCACATCTGTCATCCCAGCATATGGGAGGCTGAGACAGGAGGAATTCAAGGGTAGCCTGGGCTACATACGTGAGACCCTGTCTCAAAAAAGCAAATTAAAGGCCAGGTGTGGTGCGCATGCCTGTAATCCATGCATTCTGGAGGCTACGGCAGGAGGATCTTTGTGAGTTCAAGACCAGCCTGGGCTATAAAGTGAGCTCAAGGCCAGCCTGAACTGCATAGTGAGACCCTGTCTCAAAAAAAAAAAAAAAAAAAAAAAAAAAAAGCAAATTAAAAAAAAAGTCTGCTTGTAATTTTTCATAATAAAAACAAAAATATGGCAGAAATGAATTGAATAAATTACATAATAACCTAATTGACAGCCTAGTGTATTTTGCAACTACCAGTAGAGATTATCTACACTTAAAGAAAAGGTGCTTCTCCTAAAGGAAACAATGAGAAAAGACTGATTTCTCACTCGGTATGCCAAACCACTACTTCCTCCTCTCACTCACTCAACCCTGCTGGGAACTGAGAAGATTCATACACGAAAATTATTAAATTAGCTGAAGTCAGTCCCCAGAAACAATTTCTTCTTTAAATTTCTTATTTTTCAGGGAAATGTTCTTAAAAGAAAATTACCTGCCTTCTGAGACACCTATACTGAGCATATTTTAACCTTGACGTTTCAGTAGTACTAAGTAGCAGTACCTAAGGCAGAATGCTTTCTTTAAAATGACCACCATGTTCTTGTAGGCCGCTGAGGTCACAAACAAACCTGTGTGCTTTACGAATTAAAACACACTGCCTCTTCCACTATTTGTGCTTCCCGAGGTGCTATTTCATGGAAGTTCACAGCACTCGTGCTCTAACCTGGTGCCTCCACTGAAAGCACCAAGTCTGCAGACCCTGGTCTGTAAGTGGCTAGCGGACCCATTTTTTTGTCCATTTACAACACAGTTCTGCATCACTAAGATGGTCCAAGGCTGACCCCAGAAAAGCAGACATAATAACTACGCACCTCTACTGGATTTTTGAAATACAATGTTTGAAGTTACAAAAGCACTCATTTAGGAAATAATCTCACAGTCAGTTTTCTCAGGATCAGTAATAACTAACAGTGAGAACAAAGGTTAGATGACTTCCCGGATCTTTTCAAAACTCCTCCATGAAGAAGGACGTTCACAGTGAAAGCAATCACACAGAACTGCAGTAAGAAGTCAGTGAAGAACAGTAACTTAAGAATATTCTGACTGCAGTTGATGTAAAGTAAATAAAACAACGACATATAAAAGAGCTGTTCACTTCTTGTCTTTTACCTTCCTAAACGAAGCTGGTGTTTTACTGCAGTAATACTGAGCCAGGGTAAAAAGGTCTTCTATATCTTCAAGATTCAAACTGGACGGCATATTTTCCAAGAACTCTGAAAGAGAATTGCAGATAACGTTTAACTGTCTGTGAAACATTTATACTATTTATGTTCAAAACTAAAACACAGGGCCGGGGATATAGCTCAGGGGCGTAAGTGCCTTCCTGGTAAGCATAAGGTCCTGAGTTCGATTCCGGGCACCAAAAAAAACCCTAAAACATATTCAGCATAATAAGTAGTACATAAATGGAACAATGATGCTTTTAAAAAGCTGCTTATAGAGAAAGAAGCTGATACCGTCAATGCAATTTTCTTGCTAATAATGCATGGTCAGATAATAAAGTCAAATTCATTAGCTTTAATCAGAATTCACTGATTATTTAGCGAACATATAATGCCAGGGCCCCTAGAAATAAAAAAAATTAGTAATAGTTTCTAAGTAACTTTATCTTGCATGAAAAAATCGTAACAATGTAGTAAGAAAACAATATTATACAAATAGTACAAAGTATAAGGCAATATGGAGAGAATGTAATGATCTCTGTCGAGGAACTAGAGTGAGATTCCAAAAGAGAAAACCAAAGCTTCGCAACAGAGATTGTAAACGGAGTATAAAGAGGTTCACCGGGGGCAGAGGTGGGGGCGGGGTGGGGGTGGGAGAGCATTCTACCTGGGCGTTAGAATCAGAGAAGGGGTATAGGCAGGAATAAACAGTGAAGATACATGAAGGAGTGAGTGCAGACAGCAAAATCAGAGAAGACAACCTTTAAGGTGTCTGCACCTAGTGTTTGAAGAATACGGGAATACAGCATTACAGGAACCTCAGAGCAGCTACAGCCTAACCTCCTGAACTTATGGAGGAAAAACCGAGTTTCAGAAGGATTATCTCATCTGAAATCTTTTCCCCACATTAAATAATACTTACGGATAACTTCTTCCTTGCTGTCTGACTCTTGTGCTAAAATAACTTCTCTGTAAAAGGAAATCACATTGCATTTGCGTTAAATATTAACCAACCATCCTGAGAAAAAAGAAGAAAAATCTAATCTATTTAATACTTACTTTGCATTAACAAGGATAATTAACATTAAGAAATAAATAAAAAATGGATCCGCTTGTTGGAGATATCCATCCCATATTGCCTGAATGACTTCAGTGGAACAGTAATAGGCAAACAGGCTTCCAAGCTGTAATTAGGAAATGTAATGAGAAACATAAATCACTGGAGCTGGCTTGTAATACTTCTAAAAGTATCACACAAATGAAAAATATTACAACAAATTACATGCACCTGATATTTCACATATTTTAACTTTAGTGTATGTCCCAGAATAACACATCCATCAAAATTACACATAGAAGAACAGAGTACTGAGCTGTACATTATTTTCCTTTACATTAGCCATTTGATAATCTTAAATAATTTTCCTCATTATTTATTAATTCTTATATGCATCATCAACAGTTTAAGCACAACGTTTTAAACTGCGTTGATATATATTTACATGTATTATATGCATACATTTCTAGAGATGTGTTAGTTACTATAGTGAATATTGAATTTACATACAGCTGTAAAAATATAATACATATTAATACATACTAAATACGTATTAGTTATATTTCTATGTACGTGTAATATAACAAAAAGCTAAACTTTGTATCAAATAATCTGAGCTAACATATGTGAAGAGCAAAAGAAAATTATTTTGAAATACCAGTAATTTTACTCCTGTAGTTTACTAATGGTCTACAATCTAGTCACTCACTCATTTGTTTGTTTATTTGAGACAGGGTTTTGCTATGTAGTTCAGGCTGGTTTTGAACTCACAGTGATCTTCCTGCTTCAGCCTCACAAGTATTGGGATTAAAGGTACGTGCCAGCATGCCCAGCCTGGTCTGTAATTTAGAACTCTATTTTCCTTGAAAAAACACTACCTAGCCGGATAGTGCCACAAGCCTGTAATCCCAGCACTCAGGAGGCTGAGACAGTAGGATCGCCATCAGTTCAAAGCCAGCCTAGGCTCTGACTTGGGCTCAAGACGAGCTTGAACTTCATAGCAAGATCCTGTCTCAGAAAACAAAATGAAACAGAACAAAACACTACCTCACTATAGTTTTATATGAACTATTTTTCATTAAGGGTTCCTACTTTCACTTCATTACCCAGTGGAGTGCATAGGAGTCTGGAGTAATTTTCTTTGTATCAAGAAAAGAGCAAAGCTCAGGCTCATGGTACTGGATGAGTAATCGGAAGAGATGAAATGGTCTCCCCTTCAGGGAACAATCCCTAGAAGAAAAACAGTTCTTTTTACATTAACAGGCCAGAAATGAGCGCATCAGTAACAATCCCCGGCAACACCTGCTGCATCCCCTGCAGGCCTCCACTCCCCCCGCACATGTCCTGCCCACCACATATTCGAGGTCACCTGACAGGACCAGGCAAAGTTCTCTACTAACACTTCCCCTTCATCTGACTTGACCGAAGTTCTACGGTCACGTTAGGGAGAGTCTCATGCAGCGCTCAAGTGAGGGAACTACAGGAATCACAGAACGTACAACTTAAGCTACTGTGATAAGGTTGGGGTCCCAAAAGATCTAGAGTCCTAAGGAAGTCTCATCTACTACTGCCCTGCCGAAGGTGAAGGTGTTTTTGTTAAACTCCCAGAAGGCTGCACATCACCGGTATACTCAACTAGGAATGTCCTTCCACAAAGTACAAGACTGAAATGAGCACAGATAAATGTTTCAGAATGTGGAGCTCTACCCTGAGAAACCACTGAAGTGGCCAGGTACCTGGTTCTCAGAGTGAATTCCAAATACTCATTCTAGCGAACCACTGTCATACTTCAAAGGTTAAGAGTAAAATGGGCCAGGCATGGTGGGGCACACCTGCAATCTCAGCACTCCGGAGGCTGAGGCAGGAGGATTCCTACAAGTTCAAGGCCAGCCTGAGGTACACAGACTTCAAGGTCAGCCTGAACCACATAGTGAAACTCTGTCTCAAAAAGACAAAAGGAAAGAAAGAAAAAAAGAAAAAAAAAAAACCAGTAAAATGGGAAAGTTGAATATGAATATTGTTTTACAGTAAAAGGCAGCAAACATATACTACTATTTTTATTATCACAATGCCTTTATTTTTTCAAACACATACCACATTCCATTGTGAGATACTCCAAAAGTAAAAGGCCTGGAGACCCATCTGGACTACAGATCCCCTGCAGCTTCTAGCTATTACTTCAGGAAGCTTAGCAAGTATCTTCAGCTTTAAACAGGCTCCTCTTTACACGGCTGGCAGCTCCTCACACCCTGATCTGCCGTCTCCCATACCCCCTTTCCTTTCGTGTGTGCTAGGGGATGGGTCAGTGATAGGGATCACACCCAGGGCCTCGTGCACGTGAGGCAAACACTCATCACTGAGCTACAAGCCCAGGCCTATGCCGCTCTTCTGAAAGGTACCCTCCCGACACCCAGAAACCCAAGCACGTAAGCCCGAAGGAGACAACCCCTCGGAGCAGATGCAGACGTGGTTCACGTCCTCGGCCTGCCCCTCAAGAAGCACAGTTGCTTCCGCCTTCCCACATGCAGTCTGACTCTGCACTCAGAAACTCTGTCTTCTAACTCTCAAGTAAGTAGCACTCACAGAAATATTTTGTGCCTAGAAGATCTGTTAGACATTATTGTTTTCTCATTAATTCATTTTACTGTTTATGTTTTTAATACCTCAAAACTTAACTCAGTTACTTCGCGGAGAAAGAATCTCAGCCGGGCACAGTGGTGCATGCCTGGAGGCCTGGCACCTCAGGAGGCTGACGCAGGAGGATCAGGTGGCAGCCCAGGCAAATAAAAACTAAAAAGGGCTGGGGATACAGCTCACAGCAAAGACCCAGTCCAATCCTCAGTACTTAGGGGGAAAAAGCATCTCTCAAAACTCCAAAGATAATCAACTCTTGGTAGTATGATCTTTCTGAAGAGTAGAGATGGCTACTCTTTTAACTACTACAGCCAACAACGGCAGGCACTACGAACATAATCACCTCTGGACAGCTTGCTTAAAGTATGGCGCTGCTGGACTAAGTCTTCACTTAGTAACTCCTCAGCCGCTAAGGAACTCTCCTCATGCAGCTTTTGCTGTGAAATGCATTCTACTAGTCTCAGGCACGAACCTGCACAGTTTAAAGCACAGGTCATCACAATAAAAGTACTTACTGATACGCCAAAATACCACAATAGCTTTTTACAAAGTTATTTCATTGTATCTTCATGAACAACACTACGCAACATACATTCATTGTGTAGAAAAAAACCGAGGCTTATTGGAAGTCAGGGGATTCACCAAAGGCCACGTAGCTAAGAAGTGATGGAGCTAAGACTCCTACCCAGAAACACACTAAATCACGGCCATGCTGTCCCCTTCCACGCATACAATTTGGTATTTCAACAAGAGATATTTTGGCAAGGGTACAGTTTCTAAAAAACCGAACTGTAAAGAAAATGAAACAAGGTAAAAAGTTTCATATAAAAAAGTTAATTAAATGACTGCCACGGTTTTAACACTAAAGCAGTGACAAAGAATTTTAAAGTACTACTCAGGGGCTAGGAATGTGCTTGGCGGAGTACCTGCCTGGCAGAAGCAACCCTCTAGGTATGATCCCCAGCACTACAAAAATAAGATGAGACCAAATTAAACAATTAAAAATGCTGTTCAAGGGGGAATAACGAACAGTAATCTGTACAAATCTAACCTCCGAGCTCACTGCGGGATTTGGCACGATTCTCAACCTGCCACTTCCTGAGACTGCAGATGGTAAGAAGCTCTGCAGACGAGATTCCAGGCAGGGAATCCAGGTACCCAGAGACAGAAAGATTCCCATGTGGCAGAAGTACCTCCTTGCTGGCCTGAATACTTTCCCTGCCATAAAAGTGCGAGGCAATAGAACATTAAGATAAGACACAAAAACAGAAAATAAGGAGCAGAAAATAAGGAGCATAAACTGTAAAAATAACTGCTTAAATCCTTGTACCAACTTCTGAAGAAGTATCTATTATTTAGTAGCTGCATACTGTGAAATTACTGTCAACTGCAAGGCTCTGTGTTCATGGGAATTCTACCCATCTTACATCTGAATCTGTAGTAGAAGGATCTGCTACAACGGAATTCTTCTAGAAGCCACCTGTGGGGCTCAGTGTCCTTCCCGGAGACCTCAACACTCACAACGGCTGGAGTGCTACTACGTGTGCAGCTCAGGGAAGGAGGAACTGGAGGAACACGGCAAGACACAGCTCCGGGTAGAAGTACCTCCCTCTACTCCCAATGCGACTGTTCTCTAAAGGAAGCTGGGGCAGCACGTCCTCGCTAGGGCTGCCTCTGTCAAAGTGAATGGCGTCCACGAGAAGTGCTCCAGCACAGGCAGATGAGAGACCTGGAGTGTCAGCATGCCTAAACAAGAACCTCAAGGCTGGCTCTGCCTTGTCCTTGGCGTCTTTGGGTCTGATTTCCTTCTACACAGTATGGCTTCAAGGCAGCATGAGGTTCTCTATCCTGATACACGTTATAGTTATGGAGCCTGCTTTTAAAAGCAGGTAGGCTCTACCCAGTGCACTTAGATTTGAAATGACAGGGATCCCTGGCTGAATAGACTTTTTTATTCTACATACATGTTTTCATTCAATAAATTTGTTCTTTGCCTAGATAGTTCTCAAAAAAAATTCAGAAATTGCCAATAAATACATGCGAAAGTACTCAACATCAGTAACCAACCAGGAAATTTTATCCCAAACCTCAGTGAGGGCCTGGGAGTGTAGCCCAGCGATAGAGCACTTGCTTAGCATGGGTAAAGCCCTGGGTTCAATCTCCAGTACCATGGAAAATGAAGGTAAAATAAAACAAACATAGTGAGACATCACTTCACACCCCCTAGGATGGTGTTACGGCTTGTAACTAAATGCGCCCCCAAGTCCATGTAGCCACGGGTGGGGCTTCTCAGAGGTGATCTACATTGTGTGACTGACTCACAGCACAAGGCTAGCACTCGGGGAGCTAGGGTTAAAGTGAGTGCTACCTGCCCTCAGGGCAGCAGCCCGGACACAGCGGAGGGACAGAAAGAGGCTGCCGCTCTCACTTGCAGTTGGTCACTTGCTCTGCTCCCTCCGGTGCACCCTGAACTGCTTCTCCTCCGTGATGCTCTCTGCCATCCCAGCCTGCACTGGAGCAGCCAATTACAGGCTGAAACCTCTACAAACTGTGAGCTAAGTAAAGCTTTGCTCCTTTAATTTGAGGGTCCGGTACTTTGTCTCAGCAACAAGACAAAGTAACTAAGATGGCTATAATTAAAAAGATAAATGTGAGGGGAAAGGATGCAGCTGCTGTGGGAAACTGGCCATTCTTCGAAACTTAAACACAGGCACGAGATACAGCAGTTCCACCCTAAGCGCATACGCCGGAGAAACCAATATTCATCGTGGCACATTCATGACAGCCAAAAAGTGAAAACCACCCCAATGTCTACCAACGGATGAATGAGTAAATACCACGTGTTACACGCACACGATGAACTATTACTTAGCAACAAAAGAAAGCAAACGCAAGAATGATATACTACAATCCAGATGAACCCGGGAAACTAGACTAAGGGAAAGCAGGCAGGAAAAACACACTGCATGCTTCCCTGGACAGGCAACGCCCACACAGACCCGCAGACACGCAGTGGGCCAGCGTGCGCGCACAGCACTGCAGGGCCGCCTACTGCACGGGAGCGGGCTTGTGCCCGCGGGGAGGAGGTGGCTCAGAAGTGCGACTATGTCTGCACAGCTCTGCATCAGAAATTAGTGAGCTGTATGTATTAAAAGGGTAAATCTTACAGTACGCAAATAATACCCGATAAAGTTATTATTAAAAGAAGAAAACATTCTTTCACTGGTTCTAACAAGTAACCAAGGTGGAAAACTGTACCAGTAAAGAATGCAATGTCTATGCAAACTTAGGTTCAAATCCTGACTCAGTCACACCGAGAAGTATAGCCTGGAAAGGCACTTTAATCTCTCTCCTCCTCTATCCTGCTTTGGTTTCTGTAGTTGTAAAGCAGATGCCTACCTTATGCTGGTCACTGTTTAAATTAGGGGAAAAAATCTACAGCACTCCCAACGTGCTATTATGTTGGAAGTAAAAAACAGTCAGTTAACTTTCCAGGTCCAAAACAGCAGTTGTCTACCTTAGCGCAAGAGGGTTAACTAGAAAGCTCTAAACAAACACTGACGCCAAAGACTCACCGCCAAGAGGTTTCAATGGAATTAATTAGGTTTGCAAATAAGCAGTAAGACTTTTAAGAGCTCCCCATTATTCTAATATACATGCAAGCTGTTCAGCCAAGTCACCGGTCTAAATACCATCTAAAGTTTCTTTTGACTCTGAAATTTGACTATCTGATCCACAGCACTAGAAACCAAAACAATTCTGTCTGGCTTCATCAGTGAGTGCCCCACGGCTGCCATCTCAGTACCCACACATCCGTCTGCTCCCAGCGTAAGTATCCCTTGCCCAGGAAGTTATTCCTGCCTACACTAAGGTAGTACTCTGAAGTCTCAGTTTTCAAGCAGACAATGTAATAGACATTGTACTTTAAAAAAAAAAAAAGGACACAAATAGAGATAACACCTAATAAACTTAAAGAGTTACGCTACATAAACTCCAGAAGTAAAAATTCTTAACTGAACAATCCTTTGTTTAAAACCACAAAAACAAAGTCACAAAACAATTACCTGTACAGTTCTAATAACCTTAAAAAGTATATGAACCTTTTATTCTATCAAGTAACTCCAACAACTTTAGTGCAAACTAAATCTGTACATACAACTTTTAAAACTATAACTGAATCATATTTTACCTGGGAATGTACTTATTCATAACAGCATAAAAGCAATTGTACAAATCACTTCGTGGCAGCTGAAGTTGCACCAGTGGTTTCAGGAGATGAATCCAGCTAAGTGATGCACTGTATTTAATGTTACGTGATTTACAATAGAAGGTAATTACAGATTCAATGTCCAGGAGTAATTCTGCTGCCTGCTCCTCTGGCACTGAAAGTTGGTCTAGAAAATAAACATCAAAATAAAGTTACTAAAGAAATGTTAAAGGCCTAGTAATTATGTATGCATTTGGAACATGACAAAGGCAAAAGTAAAATTACCAGACAGCAGCCGGGTGTGGTGATGCACACCTGTAATCCCAGCACTCAGGAGGCTGAGGCAGGAGGATCATAGCAAGTTCGAGACCAGCCTGGGCTACAAAGTGAGCCCAAGACCAGTTTGAACTGCATAGTGAGACCCTGTCTCAAAAAAACCAAAAAAAAAAAAAAATTACCGGAGAGCATTTTTCCTCATAAACCCAAGAAAAAAACAAAACTCTTTAATATTTTTCTTTTTCACTTAATTGCTAGAAAGCAAAAAAGTGTTTATTATCTACATCAGAAAGAGCAGCTGCCACTCTTAACTTTTCCTTCTTTTTTGCCTTTTTGGGACAGGGTCTCACTATGCAGTTCAGGCTGGCCTTGAGCTCACTTGGTAGTCCAGGCTGGTCTTGAACTCTCAACGATCCTCCTGCCTCAGCCCCCCAAGTGCTGGGGTTACAGGCATGCGCCCCCACGCCCAGCTTTAACTTTTCAAAAGAAGGACAGGGATTCATTCCGACCACCAAGTTCCCTTTCTCTTTTTTTGTTTTTGTTGGTTGGCTGGCCTGTCTGTTTGAGACAGGGTTTCATGTGCAGTTCCGGATGCCTCAAACTCTCAGCAACTCTGCCTCGGCCTCCTGAGTAACCAGCAGTCCGGGACTACAGGTGTGCACCACCACGCCTGGCCTTTTTCTTTTTTTTTTTGCCTTCGATAAATTTTTTTTATAAAGTTGCTGAAATATGCCTAACATAAAACTGCCTAAGACCTTATACTATACCGACAGTTCTCAAATAAGATAAAAATAAAATAAAAACTCAAATTAAATGTGAACAAGTCTATAAACAGAAACAATAAAATCAAAGTAATCTCATAAATATGTGATACTCTCAAATCCCTCACGTACCCTCATGTACTACCCTCAAATCTCTGGTCCAAATTACATTTTTGCCCCCACTAGCAATAACATTTCTAGGTAATTAGTACATAAAAGCCTATTAAAAATAAGTTAATTAAAATATGATACAAAGAGAAACAGATTCCAACGGACTATAGATGAATTAGAAAAAAGTAAAACTAACAGTCTATACTGTAAATTAAAATAGGCCTCACGGGGTGATTGGAAACTATTAACCCACAATTTGTAGTAGTTTTTCTATAGTAGAGCTTGATCTACCACTCATAAACTTTTAGAACACAATTCCTTCAATTTCAAGGCTGTATATAATCAAATACAATTTAATTATACTAACACCAAGTTTAAGACTAACAAAACTAAGCTGGAGATGGTGGCGCACGCCTGTAATCCTAGCACTCGGGAGGCTGAAGCACGAGGACCACTGCAAGTTAGAGACCAGCCTAGGCTACAAAGTGAGCTCAAGGCCAGCCAGAACTGTATAGTGAGACCCTGTCTCAAAAAAACAAACAAAAAAAGCCAAAGCAAGACTAGCGAAACTATAAAAATACTTGAAAACTGGACATATAATGCAAAAGAAACAGTAAAAACTGGGTCTCTAAATTATTAAACAAAAAATAAATAAATTATTAAACAGTATTTTGGAAGAATTTCAGAAGGGCCTACAAACTATTCACAAGCAGTGACAGTTACACATAGACGACGCCTTGCAGCCTCATGCACACGAAGGGGGTGGGACAGACCCCTGGGGTGCTACTGCTGACTTGCTGTCAGGAAGTCCGGCCGGGCAGACCCCAAGGGCAGAACCTGGCTGGGTGGGCCCTCCTCCCAGGCTCCTCCTGCCTCCGCTTCCCGGCGGCCTTCCCTCCACAGACCCCTCCTCTCTACGGCTTCAGGTTTAAGCCTGCAGAACCTGGACTGGGACTTCTGGAACGTGAGCCAAAATATCCTCTCCTCCTTTAAGCTGTAGGTGCTGGTGTTACGCGTCATCGAAAAGCAAGCCCTTTATGCATCCAAGACAGTCTAAATTAAGAAGGGAAAAAGGGTTGGCTGTTTGAACGCAGTTACTAAACTTACCAATAAGCCCCAAGCAATCTTTATGAACAGTGGTCTGTTCGGGCAGGTCTAAAATACCGTCCCAGGATGCCAAACTATCACCTTTTCCTGCCACATTCAGAGCGATCTGGAAGAAAGGTTTTAAAATGCTATTAGCTTCGCGTCCTTTCTCAGTCTTGAAAAAATGCTGTAGCAATGAAAGGCTTCAAAGGAAGAGTACCAAAGATTACAAAGTAACCAAAGTATACTTCATCAAATGCTGAACCCTCACGTAACAATGGACCAACAGAATTATTTTAAATCTTCCTATATTAGATTTGACTACTTTGTGGTTGATTCACTGAATAGAAGACACAAAATATTTATGTACTTATATAACTTTATTTCAAGCAATCACTTTTGTTGCTGTTTTAAAAATTAAAATGTGGTATTAGCAAAGAAAAAGTACTACATCTGCGCCATCTACAATTAAAAATTATATAGAACACTTCATGAAGTGAGGAAAAACATTGCTATTTTTTAAGGTTTTATAAATGTACAAAACCACTGTATTGAAGGAATCTTCAGAGACATATTAACCAGTTACAACAAGTGGGCCTTGTAGCATTCGATTTAAAGCAAATCACCCCTAAGAAAAACTAAGACAAATGAAGAAATCACCTTATGATATTAAGGACTTATTAATCTTTTCAGTGTTTCATGGGTTACTTGAGAAGTCTTTATTTTCTAGGCCTTCACAATACAGTGTTTCGGTACACAAGCAAGCACGCGCACTCCAGCAAGGGAAGGGCGAGGGCGCTGGTCAGACACGACGGCCACACCGCTAACAGTGGAAGCTGCACTGGGGTTCACCACAGCTCACTGTACAAGTCTCCGGACCTGCCTGTATGTGCTTAGATTTCTATAATAAAACACTAACAGCGCCATGTACAGTTCCCATTCCATTTCTTAAAGTGTGTATGTGCGCAGAAGAAAAAAAGAAAAAGAAAAACATCTAAACTTATTTTGTGTTTTGCCTATGAGTGGTAACTAACATGATTGTTTTATTTCCTCTTTTGTGTTTATATTTTCAAATATAGCAAATATATTTTCACTAATAAAATTTTGAAAGTATTATTACATACGCATTGGCAAACAGAAAATCTGCTATAACCAACACCCAGAGCATATTACATTTTTAAAAATACAGCTAAGATTATTCCTATGTGCCACTGCATATCCTATTTTACTTACCAGGCGTACTTCCCCATTTCCTTAGTTCCCATAAGAAACACTTCTAATGGCTACAGAACATCACCTCCCAAGCCCTAACCACTACCACTAAGTGCAGTGAACAGCGGAGAGACAAGAGTCAGCACGCTGCTCTACTGAGCAAACTTTCTCTAGATGCAGCATATTTATCGAGCTTTTCAGAGGGCTGAAAATTTTTTAAAATAACTTTAACATTATTTTTAAGCTGCTACATTTTAGTCATTTTAGTTTCCAGTTACCTTCCAAACTTTGGCCCTCAGTTCAGCAGGCAGTGGCCTCCCTTGAATTATATTTCTCAAAGTTTCAAGATCACAACCTCCTGCTTCCAGAGCCTCTTCAAGATCTTTTTCCCTGAAAAACAAATCCTATCAGGATACACTTTAATTTTATATCTTTTCTTATTCAAGATTTATTTACAAGCATGGCCTATTAAATAAAAAAGGGTTCCCAAGCAGTCAAATTTAACATCAAGGCACACATAGTATTCATATAATCCATTTTCCAAGGAGATGAATTCAAGTCACACACAAGCATTTTCATTTTGTATTTTGTTTTAACAAGTTTAGCTAAAGATTAGACAAATTTTACTAGAAGATGGCGCAAGGAGGGTGAAAGCATTGTGAAATCACACTAGTAACAGTAATCGCAGTAGTCATGCCAAGTAACACTTGCTATAGCATTCACTATATACCAGATATGGTTCTAAACATTATAGCTGTGTTTTTCCTCCCTACAGTGAAACATGATACATCACTAGACCTAATTACAGAAATAAAAATTAAGGCAAAAATTATGAAACTTAAGTAATCATCCTATAATACTAAAAAGGTCACTATTCTTTCAAGTGTTTAACGTATTACTACTATACTCATGTGTATCATTGTGATAGAGCCAGGATTCAAAGGGGAGTGAATGCTCTTGACATTATGCTAAATAGTAGCAAGAAGGAGAAACCACAGAGAACCAGAGTCCGCTACTATTTACATAACTATACTGCTATCATCCCTGGAGCAGTGTCTGGCTCACAACCAGCTATTAATCGAAGCCAGAGGAACAAAACAGTCTACTGGTATTATACATTATACCAAAATACCACCACATCATCCCGTAAATTATGAATAATGCACACAGGAAGGTAATACTTGTAGGGGAGACAGTGTGTGACACGGTCGTGCCCTCTACAGCTGCCACCTCTGGTACTCTCAGCGCTATTGTTCGTTTTTCGGTGCAGATCTGGTATCTCTTCTGTGCAGGTGGGACTGAGGAGACTCGAATGTTCACCATGATGGATGAAAAGCCCAAAGGAATCAAGACTGAAATTAACCATCATATTAAGTGGAAGGTGGACCGGGTGCAGGATGGTTCTGAGATGCTCAGTAACAGGCATACACCACTCCGTAAGCCAAGGAAAGCGTATGGTGAGCAGCAGGATTTACAATGAGGCAGAGCAGATTCCCATTTGACCAGCTAGCAATCAACGGAGCAGACACACCTGCACGGTTGGAAATGGAAGATGAAGATGCAACTGGTGTGTTCTCGCAGCAGAGAAGTTACCTCTAAAACGGGAGCCTGAGGAACTAGTGCAAGTGCACAAGCACACTACACTTCCATGTTTTTACTAAAGGGCCAATGATGTATTTAGATGGATATCAAACTGAGACGGAATGAGGAAAATACTGGCTCTGTAAAAACATTCCCTTTCTCCATGAGTAGCAAGGATCTTTACGTTCCAGTAAGTTATTCTGCTTTAACAAAAAATAGAAAATCCTTGTAGACCTTGCTCAATTGGAGAACGTTAGTGTTTTTACTGATCACTGTAAACCTAAGGACAATTCTGTAATTGTTCACATATAGCTCCAGTGTTTACATATAGATCCAGTTGTTTACATATAGATCCATTATATGGATTGTGATCTGTCTCTAGATAGGGGTAATTACTCTAAAAACAAATAATTTTCTTACTGTTTAAATAAACTTGTTTAAAATGGAAAAAAAAATTTTTTGAAAAAACAAAACTCCCACGAAGATATGAATTGTTTTTTAGTTAGAAAATAATCAGCTAATTCCCTAGAAATTTTCAAGATCTGACTTTTGTCCCTGTTTATAAATTCAGTGTACACTAAAAATCCGTAGGAAAAAAATGCTTAAATGTTGTAACTCAGCCAGATGACTTCTATCATTCTCCGAGGCAGCCTAAAACGTAGAGCACCTTTCCAGTCAGGATTCTGCATCATTTTTGTGGTTGTTCCAGAAAACAAATTACTCCCATTCCTCATGCTCTGAATGATTTAACCCTTTCCTATTGGTAAGATTCTAAGAGGATTCCTTTCAATGTATAAAGTTCATTAAGCGTTGTCCCTTCAAGGGAAGGAACTCAATGAAAATACCACGTGCGATCATAATCCACAGGAAAGGTCAAACACGAAGGGTTCCTTAAGGAAGCATCCGTTTTCCCACCAATGACTCACATTTCTCCTTCTTTAGGTGGAAAACGGATGTACCTTGAGATCATAATGCTGAGTGAGATAAATCAGACACACAGATTCCTCTTATATGAGAACACCAAAATATAAATAAAGAGCAAAATACAAGCTAGATAATAGTAAACAAGACAGATCTTCTGCAAAAGGGAAGGGGAACATGGTATGAAGGGAGGGGCAAGAAGGAGAATGGAGTGAAAAAAATTGTGTTATGTCCATGTACGAACTCTCCAAAAGGAACATAATCACTGTGTACTGCAAACATGTACTAATAAAAAATAAAAGACAAGGGAAAAAAACGCCGAAGAGTACAGCTAGTACCCACATGTGGGGACCCCATCAGACTGCTTCAAAGCTCAGGGACATTTTAGGACACCTGCGGACGTGACCGCCACTGTCAATTAGCGCAGGCGCACAGTGGGATAGTTACATGACCGCGACTCCGCACAGGTAAACACGCTCGTGCTGGGTACGGCACTGCGCAGGGATGTACACGTGAGACAACCACCTGCGTAAGAACGATACGCTAAACACGGCTCTTGCACTCTGCTCTGCTCCACGCTGCCCACTGTTGCTGCTGACAGCTTGCACACATGTGTTCTTTAACCCAGGGACCTCACCCACAAAACCTCCCTTGCACTTCCTGAGCAGCCAACACCACATAATAAGCATTTTAGTTTTGTGCTGTATGATTACCAAAATGCGGGAAGGAAGGAGACTGCAGGCCTACAGTCTATAAAGACTGAGGTTTACTTCCATGATAGCCAAAAATGTTTAAGACAACCTATTAGAATTTGAAGGGCAGTTGGTAACCATGAAGTGAAAAATTTAACAGCATCTTTGGTGTATAAATACCACAGATTGAAATGGTCCGGTGTGTCAATGAAATGAGAAATTGAAAGCACTATTTAATACAACAGAGGGGGGCTGGGGACTTAGCTCAGCGGCAAAAGCGCCTGCCTGGCAAGTGCAAGGTCTTGAGTTCGGTTCCCGGTACCGGAGAAAAACCAAAAAAA